GCCCAGTACCGCCCAAATAATAAAGGGATCATAATGTTGTTCAAAAAATATAAACGTAATATGCCTAACAAACTAGCACGTAATCATCCCTCAAAAAAAAAAAAACTAGCACGTAATCATCATCTAAAAAGAAAACCATCCCGTAGAAAGTGGGGTTTCTACCCGTAGAGACCTCCAATCTGTATGGTCCAGCGCCGCCTAACCTCCAACGCTGCTGCTTCCTGCGATTCTTATGCCTGCATGATCTCCCGATGCTTCATGCTCCGTCCCATCCAACTTTCGTGCGCCTCCCGGTGGCCGCTTTGCCTTGCGCAGATTGTGCGCCTCGACTGCGTGGACTGTCATCCACCACAACAATGGCGAGGTGCCTCTCCTTCGATCTGATGCCAGTTTTTCCACTGACGTAGGTAAACAACCTTGCTTCTTTCACATATTTATAAACGTGCTTCCGTTTTTAACCCATGTGGTGCTTGAACGATGAGTCTGCTAAGTGCGTCATGATTCATGAGGTATGACCATATACTATATGGAGAATAGATAACTGTAAGAGCAACTCCAACGGGACGACCCAAACGGACACCGATTTTGTCCGCTTTTTGTCCGTTTGGGTCGCCCGTCCGCCCGTCCGTATCCGCTTTTTCGTTTGGGTCGGCAAATGCGCCCAACGGAAGGCAGACTCATTTTATGCATGTCCGGATCGGCATTTCGTCAAACACATAGAACTCGCAAACGCCGGTGCACGTTGGTCATGGCCTGGACGAGCTGGAGCCTGCTGCTTGAGGTCGGGCGCTGGGCGAGACCGTGCAGCGGCTGGGCGCGGGGAGGCGAGGCCAGGCCGGGTTCGGCGCGGGGCGAGACCAATGGCTGCAGTAGCCCGCCCGGGCGAGCGGACGAGCTGGAGCCCGCCATGGCTCTGCTGCGCGGCAACGCGAGCTTGGCGCACCGTGGCGAGTTCCATGTATTGGAGGGGAGGTCACGAGCGGGGCGAGCGAAGGCCACGGCAAGCGGGGCGAGCGAAGGCCACGGCGAGCACTGGAGCGGCTAGCTACGCACGCGGGGTAGCATGCGTTGTGCATGCACGCACGCACGCAGCCACCTGCACGGCCGGAGCAGCATGCCCGCCGCGCTCGCCGCAGCTCACCGCGGCCGCTGCGCCAGCTCGCGCCCGCCACAGCTCCTGCCTGCCGCATCTAGTTGCGCCCCCGCCCCCGCGTCTCGTGCTGCAGCTCGCCGCGTCTCCCGTGTGTTGCATCTGGCCGCGCACCGCTCGCGCTGCAGCTCGCCACCTTTGCGCCCGACAGAGCCGCCCCGTGCACTGCCACCCCCTGCGCGTCACGCCCCGCTCGCGCTGTAGCTCGCCGGAGCCATCCTCGCCCTGCCTCGCGCGCTGCCGCTCCGCGCCCCGCGCTGGCCGGAGCCATCCTCGCCCTGCCTCGCGCGCCTCTACCCGTGCCTCGCTCGTGCGCGCCGCATCCCGCGCTCGGGCGCGGCGAGGCGAGGCCAGGCAAGGCGAGTCGACGGGCGCGGCCGGGGGAGCACGAGCCCACCACGGCGGAGCATCAGTGCCGGAGAAGAACGAGCGGGGTGGGTGGGTGGGAGAAGAAAAAGGAGGAGAGAGACGGGATGGGATGGATGGGTGGATGGCAAGTGGGGCAGGCAGCACATGCAGCCGGACAGAGGCGGACGGGGAGGGCACAGAGAGCGCCCGCTTTGTGTCCGTTTTTGGCCCAAAAATTTTCAAATTTGAGACGGAAATGGGTCTGCGCGGACACAAAACGGACAGCAGGCGGACGTTGTGTCCGTTTGGGTCGCCTCGTTGGGCCAGTTTTTATGTCCGGATGATCCAAACGGATAAAATGAGTCGTCCCATTGGAGTTGCTCTAAAGCATGTAATCTCTATGAAAACATTATCGAGTGTGATGGCTGGCAAGAGTATGTCGTATGTACTAACTTTCATACACCAATATTGTGTACTGAATTATTATTATCAATTGTTAGGAAACAAGAAAAGCACTCGAGACTGATTATGCATCTACCTAGATCGAAATTTCAGTTGAATTGTTATGTTGTACGAGTTGGTGCCAGATCTAAATGAGAGGCAACATAAGATCAAGATTGAAGGTGGCGTCCCTTTGTGAAACCATTATGGAGTGTGAGAGATGGCAAGAGTATGTTGTATGTACTGCTATTCATATACCAATACAGTGTATTGAATTATTCTTATGAATTGTAAAGAAACAAGAATAGCACATGGGATTGATTACGCATCAACCTAGATCGCGATTTCAGCTGAAATTGTTCTGCGGTACGAGTTAGAGCCAAATCTACATGAAAAGCAATAAAAGATCAAGACTGAAGGTGTTATGTTGCTTACAGTTTTCTATGAAGCCATATATGTATGCATATGTTTATGCTCATATGCTGAAACAAGTGTTCAGACATAGTGATATATCTTCACAAATATTCTAGGGATATTTGCAGCACGGTAACCCAAGGCAAGCACGAGCTCTCTCCATATGCCAGGTTTCAGTAAATTTGTTGCAGTTTTACTAGAAGCTCCAGTCTTCTTTTAACATATCTTGATTATTTATCCTTATTTTATTCATATCTTCACAAGCTTAAATATTTATCTATTGTAGGTAGCCATAGTTTCTAACTTCCAGATTTAATTTACAGTCCCCACCCCCCTCTCTATTATGAATTGGTAAGTCTACCATGGCGTTTTGTGCACTTCATACATGACACCCTTGAAGGTACAAAATTTTAGCTCATATGATCTACTAAATGTATCATATGGCCAAGGGAGAAGTGACATGGAACGGTTGCTATGTTCATTGATTTTTTCGCATGGTCAAGTGCTTTAAGCCTTTGTCTCTGTTTATAGTAGTCCTACATCTAAAATAAATTACCTTACATGGAAGTTATTTCAGTTGCGAAAATGGCCTTTGGTGGCCGAGCTACCTGCAAGCCGGTATCAGCCCCGTCAGGGCTCATCGCAATCGGTGCCAAGCGGGTATCCAGCTACTATATTTTGTAAAAGAGGCCGCTGCACGGTCCCGGTATTTGCTAGCAAATAAAAAATGCGGGCTAACGTATACTGTCAGGCACAAGTGCTGCACAGTTGCATGTCTTGTCACACGTGCACCATGCCAGGTTAACAATGTCCTTTTTTCTAACTACGGCTTGGTGAATATTTTTGTCCCTGCACTATTTACCCACCGCACCAATTTCGCGTCCTATTTGTATCTTAACCGAACAGAATCCCGGCTCATTCTACGTTGGAATAGCACAACCCAGTAAAACTGGTCAACCGAAGATAGCCCACACATTTTTTTTCATTGTTTTCGAATTTAGCGATGCTCCATTTACACTTTATGACGTACTAATTGAATGCCCATGCGTTGACACGAGAAAATAAATTTAGGTTGTACAAAAATACCAAATTAAGTAAACTATTATGGACACTTTTATTAAGGTATTTCATCTCCTCCCATTTTTTTAGCAATTTGCACTTGAAATGTGGTCATGTGTCTCTCCCTCCATTCCAAAATAAGTGTCGTGGTGTTAGTTCAAAACATCTCTTTCAGTAAGAATTTTTCACGCAAAGATTCTGGGTGCAGATAGAAATCATCAACATTTAGTGATCCATAAATATTCTTAGTGGCTGCAGATTGGCTCAGGTTAAAAAACAATGCACAAACCTTAAGATCACTCATGCAATACGATTCCATGATGGTTACGAAATCCTTGTAGTTGATGTTTTTGTCAACGTTCTCCTTTGACAAAAGTGTCCTTAATCTCTTTGCACTCTTGAGTTGGAAGGCCAACCATGATTATGTTTAGGGTGACGGAAATGAAAAATAATTAGCATTTTAACTGACCTTCATTCGTATCTCCTAATGATGGCTTCATCAAGGTCAAACGGTCTGTTTGTCGTGGCAAGAATGAGTATCCTTATCATCAGAATGACTAATGATCAAGATAGTTGATAAGAAACAAAATGATTTAAGGACACATGAGGATATGATAAGAAACAAAATGATTTAAGGACACGGTAACACAAGGCAATGCACGGGCATTATACTAGTTTCTTTAATTGCAGAAACTCGAGCAGCTTATATATAAACTGAATCAGCCAAAGATAAAAACAGAATCCTCGGAGGTTGTGGAACTCTGTGAACCCCAAAAATTGACCGATCGGCCATCATCGGCGGTCCCACCTGTCGGAGGCTCCCCACGCACAACTCCACTCCACATCCACATCGATCCCTTCCCGACTGAAACCCTCGCCTCCGCCATGCCGCCGTCGCGCCATCGCTGCCGGACGAGCTCCTCGAGGAGATCTTCCTCCGCCTCCCGCCGGACGAGCCCGCGCACCTCCTGCGCGCCTCCCTCGCCAGCAAGCTCTGGCTCGGCCTCCTCTCGTCCCCTCGCTTCCGCGGTCGCTACCACGAGCACCATGGAGCTCCCCCCATGCTGGGTTTCCTTCATACCTGGCACTACGGCTCCCACCCCACCAAGGTAGAAGACCCCATCCCACACTTCACATCCACCGCCAAATTCGGCGCGCGCATTCCCGACGACGAATGGGCCGACGACGAATGGGGGAACATTTACTACACTGCGTGGGACTGCCGCCATGGCCGCGTCCTCCTTGGGGGTTCAAACCAGTTACCTATGCCGCTCGTCGTTTGGGACCCCATGACGGGTTGCCGGAGGAAGCTGCCCGCCCCATGGATCTCGGACGACAGCCACGCTGCCGCGGTGCTCTGCGCCGTGAGCGGCTGTGACCACCGCACTTGTCACTCGGCTCCCTTCCAGGTGGTCTTTGTCAGCCTGTACACGAAAGAAGATGATCATGATGATTGTGTTGCACGCGCCTGTGTGTCCTTGGCTCCTTGCCAGAGACCGGTGACTGGAGCAAGCCCGTCCCTCAATTCAATGAGTGGGTCGAGCCATGCCCTGATCTTCATCTTCCAGCCGATGCATTCATCAAGCCAATGCCCCCTGTCCTTGTCCAAGGAGCACTTCACTTCATGCTTAAGTATGTTGATGACGACAGTGCAGAAATTCTCAAGTACGACTTGACCTCTAATAGCTTATCACTGATTGATGCACCGGTTCAGTATTCTCCAATTGCCAGTGCCCCTATCCTCATGGCGATGAAGGATGGCAGCTTGGGGTTTGCACTAGTGGATAAGCTAACCCTCTACATATGGTCAAGACTGATGGATTCCAACAGAGTTGCGTCATGGACTCAATGTAGAATTACCAATCTCAGTAGCCTTCTACCCATCCAAAATCCCGAGGAAATTAGCCTTATACTGGTTGGATCTGTGGAGGGCAGTGATACCGTTTTCGTGACCACAGACCTGGGCATCTACGAGATTAATGTCAAGTCACAGCGATGGAAGAAGATATGGAAGAGAGAAAATTTCCGTTCTTTGATTCCATGCATGAGTTTCTACAATCCACAAGGTATAGTTTTATTTATATGTCCATTGTTCTGATTTGGGGACAACTGTTAAGTAATACTATATAAGTTAGTAGAAGAAACAAAACAATGAATCTCTAATCAGTATGGTTTTTACTTTTTAAGGTATAGCCCTTTATTGTGAGTTGGGGACAAATGTTAAGAAATACTCCATATAAGTTAGTGGAACAAACAAAACAACGTATTCAGCATTGTTTTAAAGCATCCCGCCTTGGACACTTAGGCGGCATGGCGCCCTGGCAGCGCCTTGCAATTATGCCCACTTTAAGCACTTAGGCGTCCCCCCTCAGGCGTCAGGGCGGTGTGTGCTCGCCTTAGGTCACCTTACCGCCTTAAAAACATTGCTGATCAGATATCAAGTTACATTTCAAATGTTCCCAACCAAACTTTGAGTGCTATGTAATTACATCTTAGTATTCTTACTTAAGTGGCTATTTATATCTTATCATGTCATCCCCTTTTTGGAATCACATCGACAAATCTATGTATGCAGAAAGGGTGACGCCCACTCCCTGTGACGCAGCACATTGACAAGGTATGGTTGAATATGCTCAGGTTAGGATGCCACTCTCATCAACAAGAAAGATGACAAGCTTGGAGGCGAAAGGGGTCTTGTGATGAATTATGTCACTATTTAGTAGCTCTTTTGGTTCAGTGGTGCTTGCTTGATTTCTCATATTGTTTTTCGCTTTTGTCAGTCAGCTTGATAGTTTCCCCATGTCGTTGGCGCGTGTAATCGGGTGAATGGAGTATCTTGTAATGAACCTCCAATTCTTGCTGCTGCAGTATGAACCATGTGCTCTGTTGTTTAATTTGCTGGAAAATGCATCTGCAGACGGATGCTTTTTCTTATCATTCTGAAAACTCTACACTCTACAGTTTGCTCTCCCAACTCTCTAAATTCATCTCTCCAAGGAGTTACTTTTGAACTTTGATGAGTTGATAATAATGGCATGTCTACAACTAGTTGTTTGTCTCGCTCTAGAGAAGTAGAGATGACGATAGTTTCTTCATGTTGGCTCACTGATATGCCTTAATTAATTTAGTGAATTTGGTTAGTGTTCATTTTTAGCAAAGCAATGTTACTGGCGAGTACAAGATGTAAACTGAATCTTGAGCTATATGTTCAGGGAACTACAGATATTGCTGCCTGAAGATCTTGTAAGATTTTATTTTGCTTCACTAACTCAACAAAACTGAATGAAGATCTTGAGTAGTTCGTTATTTGTTGCATTTTTTTGGCCTGCGGTGCACATAATAGTAGACTGCAATGTCCATATAGTGAGATGAAGATGTTTGTATGTTTTTTTCAGAGGCACTGCTACAGTGATCATTGCAACTGCTTTGATATTCACAGATTTTCCTTAGATAAGATCATTTTCTCAAAATCATGAACACACATTTCTTTATATTTGGACGAAGTATGGCTCTGTTCCAAATGCCTGATAGCTAGTTAATATTGTTCATCCTTCATGAAAAAAATGAATTGTCTTTTGAGTTGGCTGTTTTTCTGCATTCACCCGTTCCTCGTATTCGGATCTTATTAGTACACATTGCTAGATAATTGCTTGCTGTTCTGGGTATACCTGAGGCTTCAGTAAGTTATCATCTCCATTATGGCATATGCATGTATCGAAAAAAAATCAGTATGCTGAAGGGCAGGGTGCTCGACATGGAATGGCTGAAGCCAAGCTCGCTTGGACAGTTTAAAAAATCTGAGAACTGTGAAGTTTCAAAATGTTCTAAAAAGAATCACTCATGTACATAGGGTAGTAAAGCATTTACATGCAAATTTACGTGATCAAATCTGCTAATTTGTGTTTTCACAAAATGTATATGCCTAATTTTTATTGAGAATTTGGACTTTTGTGAGTCAGTTTGATAAAAAAAAATTGTGTAAGGGTGATCCTATATGTATCTGCATGTAGTACCATTTAAAGAACTGTATAGTTTGCTCTCCCTGCTTTGGTCCAACCTCAAATTCTCTCCCAGAGGAGGTTCGGATGATCAGCAGAGTATGAGGGCATGTCCTGAGCTAGGATTATCTGCCGATCAAGAGATGATGATGGCTTGTGCATGGTTTGGTTGTAAATCATAACTAACCTTGTGAACTGAAGTGCTGAACTAGTACTACATGTCAGGTTATGTTGCTGCAGCAAATGAGTACTTTTTGAGCAACATAATGTTACTGCAGTAATCTTTGTGGCTGGTTTTAGTTCTCTCTTTTTTCCTATTTAAGATTACTGGATCTTGTTGCCAAGATTGTGAACGCAAATTCATGTTCTTGTTGTAACATAATTATATGAGCTCAGCTAAAACCATCTTTTAATGCTTAGTTTTATTTGAGAAAGAAATTGTTTGCTGGCATATCTTTTTTGGAGAACTGTACAGTTTTCTCTCCCTTTGGTCCAATCTCTGAACTCCCTTCCCAGAGGAGGTTCAAATGATCAGCAGACGATAGGGCATGTTCAGACTTTTGCTGCTTTTCCTTTAGGCCAAGACATAACGATGGCAGATAAATCTTAAAATTATCCTTGCGAACCGAAATAGTACATGTAAAGTACTAGGAGGCAACATGGGTTAAGTACGAGGCAACAGGGAGAGATTGGATCCTGGCAACGGCCAGAGAAGAGAAGAACTTTAACAACACCGGGGTGGAATTGTGTATATTGTGAGGAGACAAGTGTTGGAAACTTTGAGAGTGCTAGATGGTGCTTCTTGTATGGTTATGTATCAGTTTCATATGCTTCATTTTCCAGGAATACATACATACACATCATGGCCATTGTAGCAGCCACTGTTTTATTCTGAAAAAAGGTTCAGGCTGATGCTGAATTCTGATTTAACACATTCTCAAATTTCCTTAGCAAACTGACAATACGAGCATAAAAGTACTCCCTCCGTCCCATAATGTAAGACATTTTTCGACACATAATCAGTGGGAGTTGATCTTCACTGCAGCTTCAGCGCCAGTGGGTAAACAACAGTGTGGGCGATTCGCCAACTAAAAACTTTCATCTTGTTAGGGCACTGCACACACCATTGTCACTTCTAGTTTTTTGGTTTTCAACTTTTCATGCTTGCGAACCTGGATAGACAAAGAAACCATAATATGTCGTCAGCTCAAGAAATGGGGTGAACAAATATGCAAAAATGAATATCAACAAAAAAATCAAGATGGATTCATGCTGAAGTTGTACTAGATAAGTCGATTCATGCCTTTCGTCCACAACGCACACTCAGATTGCTACAGGTTTAGAAGTACGCACCAGCCACCAGGCTAGGCCATCGCAGATCGCACTGAGAGATATACAATTGTTACATCTCTCCTTGCGATGGCCTATAGCATGTGTCCACTACGTCATCCCATTAGTGGGAGCAGGAGAAGCCGACATTTGGACTTTAATTTCTTACACTTTTCTCTGTGATTTTTTTTTTAATTCATGAACATTTTCCAAATTTGTGGAAGCTTTCCAAAAAAATTGAATATTTTTAAATTCATGAATATTTTTAAAAATTCACCAAGATTTATAAATTCATAAATATAATTTCAAATTCGGAATAATGTCAAATTTCACGTATATCTTTTGAATCCATGGACATTTGAATCCATGAACAATTTTTTAAATCATGAATATATTTTCAAATTCTAGAACAATATTTGTTTCCGGGGACATTTTCACATTCATGAATATTATTCAAATTCATGAGCATTTTTAAATTCATGAAAAGCCAACCCAAATTAAAAAATAAAGTGAAAAAACGCGTTGTGATTTTTTGAGGAAAAATATCACGCTAGGAAAATCGGGTGAAGAGTTGTGTACATTACTGAGCTAGCCCAATTGTACGCGTTGTAGGCGACCCGTCTGTACCGCTCCCCAAGAGCGATACATAGGCACCCCCATTAAATGGGTCCTAATTTGAGCCCGTATAGCAAAATATTTAGCAAACATGATAAGTTGATTTCTAAAGAATAAAAGAAGAATAAAAATATACCTGACTTAGAATATGTTATTAATATCTCTCAAAAATGAGAATACATTATTAATTTATTCCACATATAACAAGCACCATGGCTGCTATATAAAGGATCACTCCGGATCTATTCATTGACAACACAGAAAGTAATATTGCCATTCGAAACACAACTCATATAAACAATTCCTCCTACGGTCCACAAGTTCTTCTATCAAGAATGATGACTACCAAGGTGGTGCTCCTAGGCCTCGTCCTTTTGGTGCTTTGTTCAGGTATTTTGCAGGCATGATTCTTTTTTTTCTAACGGACATGTGTATGAAACATTCTAATTACCGTTGAATTTGTAGGTGTTATGTCAAAGGAGAGTATAGACGATGGATCCTATTTCCCCCAGCGTTGCGATATACACATTGTCTCCAAGTCATGTCCATCCAAAGATGCATGTCTAACACAATGCAAACAAACATACCACTCGGGCAAGGTTTACGGTGAATGTGCTCCTGATGGATGCCATTGCATAGTATGTGTGTTATCTGCGGGGAATTGAGGATATTAGCAAGCCTTGCACGGCACACGCTGCATGTTGTTTTCTAAGATTTATAATATTTGCAGTAATAATATTTACATGCTCATTTAAAATAAATCTTAAAGCATGTGGTAAGTTGTGTTCAAAGAAACATGATTGAAGTCTCCTGATAATTTAATAGTGATAAATGTATTCTCGCATGCAATCCTAAAGGAGAATTAATGCGATGGAATGGCTAACTGCCATACCCCATAACTGTGAGAGTAATGGAAGATATCATTTTTATGCATCGATCTCTTTTCAGACACAATAAAGCATCCCACTTTTAGTTAATGTACTAGTCGAATGCCCGTGTGTTGCCACGGAGAAAAAAAAGGGAAGCGGCACCGTTCATAGTAAGACGAAGCACAAATCAAATGGATTTGAAAATGACACTTCGGTTTGTTGGCGGAAACATTTCAATTTTTGACAATTTCAGTGTAATAAGAATGCTCATGTAATAAAATTGAGACCAAAGGATTTGTGCATATCCAGAGGAAACATGAACAATTGCAAACATGTGTATATTGGGCCATATATGAAAGATAGAAGTAAAAGCCCGGGTAAAGGGGCTTTGACTGTGGCATTACAACAGCGAGGATGCATAATCATTACAATTTCAAAACCAACATCATTCAAATATCTTCTTTCGTTATTTGACACCATTTCTTTACTTTTATACCTTTTTTTAAGGACCTAGTCTCAGCTTCTCCAAACAATAACTTGAATCAATATGTCCTTTGCTGAACAAACAAAGAAAGGGAACAAAAAAAAACAAGAAGGGCCTTACCAGATCTGATGCACAAAATAGTGGCACATAATCAAGTCTGTATTACCAATTAAAGATTACACATGAATGTTTTTTATGCGTACTTACAACCAATCGTCTCATGAAACATAAGGGCCTCAACACAAGAAGCGCACCATCACAAAGTTAGTTGGCAAAGAGCGTAATCTTGTTATTAAGCCTAGATGTACAAAAATGGGG